GTCACACATGTTGTCTTTGGCTCATCCCCTTCCGCAATGCGAACCTGGTAGTAGCCCTTTCGAGGATCCACCTTGGTAAAGTACTTGGCTTGCCCAAGACTATCGAACAAGTCAGTAATGAGCGGGATCAGGTACTTATTCTTCACGGTGACCTTATTAAGTGCTCGGTAGTCTATGCATAAACGCAATGATCCATCCTTCTTCTTCTAAAACAATACTGGTGCGCCAAAAGGTGCCTTTTTATGGGCGAATGTGACCAGCATCTAGCAGCTCCTTCAATTGTTTCCTGAGCTCCTCTAGCTTGGGAGGTGCCATATGATATGGGGAAAATGCGGGTGGCTTAGCCCCTGGCTCCAACTCAATCTTGTGATCTACCTCTCGCCTGGGCGGCAAGTACTTAGGCAACTCCTCGGGCATGACATCTTTGTTTTCCTTAAGCAACTTCTCTATGCAAGGCGGCACTATCTCTTGAAAATTTTTGTCTTCCTCTAGACTTGCAATGGTTGCCACGAACGTCGGCTTCCCCTTCTTGATCCCCTTGACAACCTGCATAGCTGAGAGTTGTGCTTGGATCTGTCCGTGTGGCATAGTCACTGTAGGTGCCATGCAAACTCCTTCTTGCTCCATAACCAAGAGACGTTGGAGGTAGGGGTCGATTAAAGTATGACAATGTCTAAAGAACTCTTGCCCTAGTATGATGTCAAAGATAACCATAGCGGTTACGATAAAGTTTGTCATACCTTTCCAAGTTCCCAATTTGACACCAGCTCCATTAGCTACCCCACAAGCATTTTGTATCTCAGCATTCACGGTCTTGACGCGAAAGTTGGTTGGAGCAAGATTCAATTTTAGTCTCTTTGCGGCAGCCTCAGTCACGAAATTATGAGTTGCTCCAGTATCCACCATTGCACGAGCGGGCTTGTTGTTGATGGTGAGATCCATGTACTGATTGCAATTCTCGGTAGGTTGGATAGCTTGCTTCGTGATAGAACCACATAATCCGATCATACCCAACTGTACGGTTCTCGGACTCTCTCCTTGTGGTTGCTCCTTCCGCTCACGTACCATGGCACTGAGGCTCTTGAGGTCAGGACAATTCCTGAAGCCATATGGCCCTCCGCATATATAGCATCCCTTCTTCTCGACCTGTGCCTTCTTCTCGGCGTAGCCCTGACAACCACTCGACTTTTTGAAATCTTGAGTCTTGGAGTATTGTTGTTGTATCTCCTTGAATTTGCCACGTCTCCCCCACCTTTGGCATTGTTAACCTTTGACTCCTTGACATTGCCTTTGTCGTGCTTGTCATGCCTTAAATCCATCAATGATTAGACCTCCACTATGGCTTGGTCTATATCAGTGACTTGTCGGTGTTGCAACTCCTGCTTAGCCTAATTTTGCATCCCGTCCATGAAGTGGAACAACAAGTCATCATTGGTCATGTTGGGGATTTGAAGCATAAGGGTAGTGAACTCCTTGACATAGTTACGTATGCTCCCTGTTTGCTTCAATTCCCTAAGCTTGCGCCTTGCCTCGTACATGACATTGTTTGGAAAGAACTGTCACTTGAACTCCGCTTTGACCTTTATCCACGTCGGCCATCTTCCTTCTCCACCATAGCATGGCAGTCTCTGAGAGGTACAATACCGCAGTGTTGATCTTGGCCTCGTTGTCCCTCACTTTGCCGTGCCTGAAGTAGTTATCCAAGTGCCAAAGGAAGTTTTCCACTTCTTGTGCATCACGAACACCTTTGAACACTGGGAGTTTGGGAACCTCGATCTTGGCCTCCCTCGTCACCACAACATTGCTGGCTACCTCGGTCACGCCAGCATTGACATGCTCATCGAGTGACTCTATCTTTGCTTTCATAGCATCGATAGTACTCAAAGCCTCCATGAGTCTGCACTCTAAGGCAGTGATAGTTTGCCTTAGTTCCATCTCAGTCTATGTACGTCCCTNGGCGTCCATCCCCGCATTCATCTTCATCACCCACTCTTTACCGAGCAAGACGTCGTCTGGAACGACCTCCACTTCATCCTTGCTCGCCTCAGTGGCAGATGGTTCTTGGGATGTAAGCCCTTCGTTTGACACAACCTCAGGTGGCACCTCCTGGCTCTTGTTGGTGACATTCCTCTTTTTGTTACGGCCGCTCTTGCCAGCAACATCCTGGATGACGTTGGCTTGGGTGTTGGCAACGTTAATTTCTCCATCGTTCACCATTCCCTTAGTTGAAACCTTCACTCTGATACCACGTTGTCACGTCCTTAGTTGTTAACTAAGTACACGTGCGACACTTGACAACTCGCTCACGATCTTGCACAACTTGCTCACGTTCTTTCTATCTCAAGTCAGCCTTACTACACTCAAGATCTAAGAGAATGGAAGAAAGAACATAAGAGAATTGTTAAAGCTTTGTATTAGAGAGAACTTGAATTGTTTGCTTGATGAATTACAAATGAATGACCCCCTTTATATACTAGTCTCCTAGGGGTTAGTATGTAAATATTAATTATTACACAAGACCTTGATATTTACAAGATAATGGTTTTTTCTAGAATTCTCTACAAGCCTAGAAGATTCCAAGGACTTTCCTAGCAAATCCATAAGGATCTAGGTTCTTTCTAAGGAAATGTCCATACCTCTCTAGAATCTTTTCACACATGCTAGCCTTCTTCTTATGTAAGCTTTCACATGGCATTAATATATGCCAAATGACGCCTATGTGGTATGATGACATGGCAGGTCATCACAAAGTACTCCAAACTTACATAGCTTATATTAGGCCCAAAAAAAAGTTAGGAAAAATATAAGGAGTAATGCAAGGGTGTCGTCCGATCAGGAGTGACAAACGGATGGGTCTGGTCGATATGGGTGGGTCAAAACGGATAAATGTAAAATGGATAAATTATCTGATCCTACCTATTTTTAATACAGATAAAAAAATATGTTAACCGGATATTCTTTCCATAACTTCTTGAATACCTTTAAAAGAATTCCTAGTCTCTACACGAGGAACTTCCAATTTGAAACTTTACAAATATAAAAGTTAAATCCATTAATTATCCATTTTCTAAGTGGATAATATAGTTTTTATCCATATTTGGCCCGTTTTTTAAAAGTTCATTATCCAATTCATTTTTAATGGATAATATGAGTGGATAATTATTTTCTTTTATCCATTTTGCCACCACTACATTCAATCATCAATAAAATGAGTGAAATTATGATAAATCAAATTTTTTAAATTTCAATAAAGATAAAAGATATCAGGTGATTTTTATTATTTATCTAAGTCTTGATGGATAAAATTATCTCTAAGTTAGATCCGGACACCAATGCTACAAACCAAAAAAAAAACATACCAAACTTAATTTTTTGGGAGCTGGGTGATTAATGATTAAGTGGGTGTTTAGACATAATAATTGTAAAATTCTAAGAAAAACTGTCTTTTTTTTTCAAGCGAAAATAGTATTTAAAAATTAGAGTTGTGTTTGGACATAAATATAATTTTGGATTGTTTTTGAATTTTTGTGAGTGATCTAAGTAAAAATTTTGAAAAATAACTTTTTATTATTTTTTAAATTTTCAAAAAATTTTAAAATATATTTCTAAGTGAGAATTAAAATTTTTATGGAACTGATGTCCTAGAAAAAGTGAATTTTTTTTTAAAAAAAAATGAAATTGTTTTTATGGCCAAAGAAGAAAATAATATGTAAAGCACATAAAAACAAAGTGGTAGCATGAAGGGTATATTTCATTGGTCAGTGCCGTGTAGTTCCATTCCATTCCACTTGTAAACAAACCATCCTGTTGCCGTCTCTCTCCTCTCTTTCTGCTTCAAATTGTACCGACATGGCTCCTAGCAAATGGGGTTTCTCTTCTTGACCGTACAATTACAGACGCCTTAATTCTCCTCCTCCTCCTCCTACTACGTATTACAACTACTACTTCTGGGTATGACACTCTACTTCTTCTCCCTTCTTTTTCAAGAATATTCACTTTCTCTCTCTTCTTCTTTTGCCCATTCCTGGTTCATGCTTTACAACTCATGGATGGTTACATATTCTGATTTTTTTGGGGTCTTCGTATAGTGTTACGTCCTTTGCCACCACCACTTTTTTTATCTGATAATCTTAGTTGTTTATGTGGGTTTCTTTAATTTTCTTTTCTTTTTTCTTTTCTGCCCGTACTATGATGAAGAAACAGATAAAGCTTATTTTTAAGAAATCCTATTTTACATATTGCAAGTTTCAAGTTCTTTTTATTATATTTTAAAAGAACTCGTTTTGCTAAATGCAGTAGCTTTTAATTCCATTATGTCCTCCTTGATGGTTTGTTTATTTCCGAATAAGATTATTGAATAGTGGGGTTGAGTTATATTATTTTGTAAATTTTGGATAAAATCCTAGAACTTCTCTTTTTATCTTGAGTCAGGCTCTATTTTCCAGGGAACCTATGAATATTGTTTGCTTTAAAAATTGAGCTGCAGGAACTTCCTTTAGATTTTCAAGAAAAAAGGTGTGAATTGCTTTTGAGGTTTGCATTTATGAGCATCATGCATACTCTATTTTCCAAAGGAAATGAAGAGATTGCTGAGAATCCTGTTGCAACATTGTCCACTACTGTTCCTTGTTGGAGTAATGGCCTTGTCTCTCAATCTGACCCTTTTGGCCAATTGAAATCTGCATCTGTGGAACACTCTGAGTTGCCAAAGGGGAATGCAACTGAGTTCACTATTTTCTCTGGTACTTTCTTCTTCAATTTATCCTTCCTTTCTGTAATTTTAGGATGTTTCTAGTTGATAAAATTTCTGCAATTTCCTGGGCATATTGTCTTTTTATTTGGCATATTAAGATGTACTTCATTGTTTGGGCTAAAACAAACTTAATATTTTATCTAAAGAGTTGGTGCAAAAGACTTTTGATTAATTGCTTTTTTTATTTTGTTAGTATTTTGAAAACTTAATACTCCATTCTTTTTATTATTTCAACTTAATAATGTTGTTAAATTTATCTTGTCTCTTGGATTCCAATCATTTGGTTGGTTGTCTGAGGCAGAAACATGCTAGGTAAGACTTTTGAAAATTTGCTTTCAATCCTTTATTTATATTGTCATTGATGTACCATTTCTTGGCCATAAAGACAAGTAGCAACTTCTTGTTTGAACATAGTAGCTATCTTTTCTTCTCCGTTTGAGCTTTACATTAAATGTCCACATGGAAAAAAAAACAAAAGCACAATAAAGAAGGCCTTGGTCCTATCACCAATTCTGTATGAAATGTTTATTGTGAGAGTCCTTATTTCAGTAGTTGTACAGTCTTTTACTTTTGACATTGCTATTTACAAAAAGACATGGCAGTTTAGCTAATTAATGGCGTCATTAAATGTGTACCAAAGTTGTTAAGATCAAATAATGGCTAGACAAAAACTAATCTTTATGCAAACCTTGCAGTCTTGCACTCCCTTGTCCGAATTTATGTGACTCATTTTTCTTTTTAATCTAGCATGATCTGATGATCATTCAACTCGGTCAAAATCTTGACACGTTGAATTTCACGTGTCGGAAAATAGTATAAATTTGCCGCTCTACTTTTATTTTTATTTAAGTATAATTAGAGACGCAACCAGAACTTTAAGTTTATGAATTCTGAATTCAAAAAAAATAATTTACTAAATTTTAGATAATTATTCATACATATCAAGTGAATTTTCTTAGGTGGGTTTTCTTAATATGAATGCAAGATATGTGCCAAAGCTATTAAGTTTTATCTAACCCATAAGTAGAACTATAGCTCCGTATAATGGTGGGTAATTTTAAAACAAAAATAAAGGTTAGAGGATAGATCTTTTCTTTTCCTTGAAGTATTTTGACACGTGGAATCCATTATGTAAAGAGTTTGATGTGTTCAAAGCTCACCAATTTACATAGGGCCAAAAGCAAATACAAGAAATAACAATGACCTGAATGTAGGGTAATCTCAAAGCATTTCTAACAGTCAGGAGAAATTTAGATCTTTCTTTTTTGATAATCAATACTTTTAAGAATGCATCTTGAAAAGAACTTGATGATCTTGCCGTTTGTATCGCGATACAGTGTCGGAAGTTATTGTTTAATAATTCATGTATTTCTTAGGACTTTCTTTTTGCTTATTAAAAATAAGTCACAAAGGAATTCAATAATTCTTAGATTACTACTTCTTATCTCCTACTCCATGAACTGAGCAGATAAAATATATGCATTTGGGTTGAATATAGTTTACAAATCCAATACTCCTTTTGAACTTGATTTGGCACACCAAGATAATTTTTAAGAAACATCAATCTAAATGACTTAGTTAAAACATTCGCATTGTGGCCTTGAAATCCAATTCTTTCTTAATTTATGTATTATATCTGACAAAATGATGTTTAGTACCAATATGCTAGCTTGCTTTCTTTCACGAAACACTCAGTTCTTGCCCAACGTGAGATTACAATTGTTAAAAACCACTTCTTTTTAATAAAGTTCTTGTAACAAAATTCTTAACTTAGAATTTAATGTAAATGCAAAACTTGGCAAGAAAGAAAAAGAATTGGTAGTGCTTTTCCAATCATTAATATAACCGACTCAATCATCACTAACAATAAGCCAAAACCTTTGGGAGGACTGAGTAAAATTTTTTCATAGTTTTATGTAGTGAAATATTCAATTTGGGAGGATTTATCCTTTACAGCACACGTTTATAAAGAACATGTTGACAGTATCTCCTTCAGGTGATTGGAAATCTTCCGGATATGGGCAAAACCAATCAAACATTCAGGCTGCTGCTACCTCAGCTAATATGGACTATCGATGTCACTTTGAGCTAGGGTTTGGTCAGTCCCTGGTAAAAAAATTCATCATAAAATCTCATACGTCATCAATAAATGTCAATTTTTGTGCTTACTCCTTCTGTTTATTTGATGTGTTCTTAAATGGTATAGATTTCTGCAAAATATCCTTACGGAGGAGAGCAATCCGTCGGGTTATTTTCAGCTTATGGTCCTCAACTTTCGGTACTGCTTCTTTCTCATAGCACCAGTTTCCAATCACTAGAGTTATATGATGGTTTGGTAATTTATCCTTTCTTCGGAATTAGTTATACTCCTCAAAATGAAATAACATTGTTACTCTAGGCATTTCTGCTGTGTTATTGCATAACTTACTTTGATGGAGTAACAAACTTCAGCTTTATAAGATCTTTTGAAACTTACAATGGTAATCAATAATAACTATGTGACGGAGTAAGTGATCGTATTTCCATCATTGATAATATTGCCAAAATTTTGTTTAGCACATCATATGTAAGCGTCGTTGGACTCTTAATGTGGTTGATTTGGATAAGTTGACAATTTTTCTTTCTGCTTCTAATAACAAAGTTGACAATTTTTTTTTGAAAAAGACACAAGAAAGCTCAAGAAATCTTAATTTATGCCCATTGATTTCGTAAGTTAGTTGGATCAATTGATTGATAAAGAGCAAAGTAATGTCCTTGGGTCTCGTATTCGCTCCTTTTAACTGAATGTCTGTAGAAACATGTAAATGCTGGTTGGGCTAAGATGTCGCCCAGATGGCACTGTAAGTTGGGCACTAATGGTAACCAATGGGTGTAACTTTTAACATCTGATATAATTGGCATGATGAAGTTTGTTCTCACAAATAGAGATGTTATAATGTGCTTCATGTATAGAAGAAGCCACCTCCATAGACATTCTATAACTTGAGAGTTTGTAGAAAATGGGTCCAATTTTCACCTCAGTATTTCTCTTGGCTGAAGAGATTCATCTCATACTTGTAAGCAGTTAAATAGATGAAAGTGCGTAAGAAATCGCTCCACTTTATTTATAGGTTCCCACTAAACTGATTCTACCATCCTATTTTGGAGGGTAAGACTTTTAAAAGAGAAGTCTTTCCATTTCACTCAACTACAGTCGGTCTTTTTCGGGGTTTTGTGAATTGTCCCGCTATTATGTACTTGCAAACAAAGGGTTTTTCCTTTTATCTCTTTCACTTTAATTTTTGTGCTCATGACCTTGCCGCGTTCAGAGTCAGTAGAGAGGAGAACCCTTTAAATAGCTATCGAGCATGCAAGAAGAATTCTAATTGCTAAAATTTATCTGTTGGATCTGGTAAGTTTAGCTATTTGATATGAGAAATCTTCCTTTACCAGCGCAATGTACAAAACTCAACCGTGAATGGGGCACAAACTCTTTATGTGAATATGGTGAGTCAAATTACAGCTACTTGCCCAACCTTAAAAACTAATCATTCATGATGAGATTTAGGGTGTCTTAGACTAGAATGGCTTACTTGTTAATAGAGGAGATGAACTCAACTGTAAGGAGTTATGAAAGTTCCAAGCACAAACTGTTGTATGACTTGATTCATTTGCCTTACTGTATGAAAACATACTTACCTTTTGTATTGATGTAAAGAGTACCTGTTTTAGTTGGGGTAGTACAGCGTTTGACGAAATACTTTGCTAGATGAAAGGCGTCAAAAATTTAAAGATTGATAATTTTATTTTGCAAAGAAACATTACTGGAATCACATTTGTCGCCCGTTGAGTTGAATTTGGAAAGAAAAATTCGCTTCCAAATTCATTCTAAAAAAATTTGCTTCCAAATTGTCAACCTGTAGGGCATAGCTATTTCTTTGGAACTATGGGTGAGATCCTCTAATTATTCGCTAATGACCATTCCGGGGTCACCATCTTGACAAGAACTGTTCTTGTGATCAAAGCATTTTCTTTGTCCAGAAAAATATTGTCCTTATTTGTTAGTGACCAATTCATCAGTCCCTCGACGAGCTCTACTTAAGTTAATTATATATATTTTTTCAATTGTTTTGGTAGAACACTAGGAAACGGTCATGTTATATATGGTGTGTCACAGATACTGAACATTCAGCTGGTAGGGCAGTTTTATTCAGATGGAATTGTATTGCTTTTATCTGCTATCTTCAAAGTATATTATGTTGTCACTATGATTTTGACTCTGAATAACAAAGAGGAATAAATGACAACCAAGTTCTTTTGCTAAATTATCATTTCTCTATAATTAAAGGATTATGATATGTTGTGTCACTCTGTTCAAATGGTATTTTGGTTTGCATCATAACCTTGTAATGCTTAGCTCATTGCTTTCGATAATACCTTTTGAGATATCTGCTAAATGAAGGTATTCTTATACTAATTAGCAAAGGAGTAAAGGAGAAGAGACTGGGATTATTCGCTCATTACGTCAAGTATAGTTGGAGAAGTGGTAAAGGATAATTATCTCTGGAGGGAAGTTTTCACAGTTCTTGAGAACATTGGAAGGGTAACTTGTCAATTGATTGAACTTACTTTCCTGGATTAATTCAGAGAATCATCTTACAATAGTAGCAGTTTCAAATATTAGGCACAATGATGGAATAACAAAATTAAAAGGTGGAACCTGAAATTTTTTTTCGAATTAATGCATAATTACTGGTAGACATGCAGTAACGGAAAACACATGTCTTCTGATAAAATGTCATAGATCATGTACCTAGGCAACATAGTTGGCATTTGTAGTGTCATTTATTCTTAACTCTCTTTTGTGCTTCATTTCTGGAGATATCCCTTCGTCATACATATTGTATCACGACTCCTTCAAACTGAATGATTTTGAGGCTCTGATATTCATAGAATCACTTCTCAAACATTCCAGGGCCGTGTTATGCTGCCATTGAATTTGGCCTCTGATGAAGGCCCGATATTCGTAAACGCCAAGCAGTATCATGGGATACTGAGGCGTCGAAAGTCCCGGGCTAAGGAAATGGAGAAGAAAGCTCTTAAACCACGCAAGGTAAAGTTTTATTTCTATGATCATGGACAGTGGATCTACATATCATTATGATATTTTAGTTAATCTTCATCAACTCTTTTTAACTTTTAAGACCACCACACATTATATGCATGATACGAATAATATCAAAGGAAGTTTTTAAATGAAGAGCAGCAGTCCTGGCTTGTGATACAAAATTTTAGCCAACAGTTACCTCCCTACTCCAGCCATTTTCCTTTATGTTCTGTCATCCCTATACACAAGCCTGTGGGCAGTAGCACGGAGCAAAACTTCTTTGTGAAAATGGTCAGATATTTATTCTGTGTTCAGTCTTCAAAATTTAACAAGCTATGAATTTTTCACGTAATACTGTAACTCTTGACCATATTCCTTGTCAATGTTGGGGTTGCTGTGGTTGCTGAATTTTGACTGCTTAATACTTACAGCCATACTTGCACCTCTCTCGCCATCTCCATGCAATGCGCCGACCTAGGGGCTGTGGTGGTCGCTTCTTGAACACAAGGAAAATGAATGGAATTATGAAGGGTGGAAAAACCAACGATACAGTTAAGACTGGTGACGTTCACAGTTTTTACTCCACTGGATCCCAGAATTCTGAAGTGCTGCAGTCTGATAGTAGCAATTTAAGCTCACCTAAAGAAACAACTGGCAGCAGGTTCTGCCATTCGTCAGAGGTCACTAACATGTACTCTAGGGGAAATCTTGATCCTTTTCTGTTTCAGGACCTGAGACCTTCGGTCCAGGCAATACCTGACATGATGAATACTGGACATGGTATTCTCATGGCCGGTAAGTGGGTTTCAGCAGCAGATAGCTGCTGCAACCTCAAAGTTTGATAGCCTTGGCTGAGAACGGGGTTAGGTGTCACTAGTTGTGCCTGACCTCGTCCTTGCTGCAACCTAATGCAAATGCGTTGGAATTTGATCTTACCAGCATTTGGTTGCTTGAAGGCAGTCATCCTTGGCTATCAATGGGGCAGTTCATCCTTGGCTAGCGTTAAGGCTGCCTCTTATCATTCTATTGCTATCGAGCAACATGGATGGTAAGAGGCGCTCCTTAATGCACTTTAATTTTCAGCACTTGTAGGATAAATAAACATATTCTGGATAAGATGATGAAGACCCTGTCAATCGGGGCTGTGATGTTGGCATGTTGCAGTGTGTTTGGATTACAGTTGTGATGTTTGTTTGTGAAAATACAGTGATGTATGATTGAGCTTGATCCAGATAATGTGCAAATTGGTGTGTTTTCAGACTGGGACAAGTTAAATGTTTATACTATATTTTATACATTGATAGGGTAGATTTTGATATGTTTGCAACTGTCATGTCATTCATTGTTTCCTTCTCACGATGCACTTTGAAGAGCATTAATCTTTGACTTATTCGCCCAGAATATGCATATGATGGCCTTATTATCAGCTCAGTCTACTCACACCAAACCCCAATAAAGTCTATGATTTTTCTACTAATATTCTAGAGGTAATCTTTCTATTGTTGTACAAGTTGGAGTACAATGTTTGAGATGCTAGATTAATCAATTTTTTCCCTCTTTTAAGATTTAGTTTTAGCATTTCAAAATTATGTTCCTTTTTTCACTTTTAGATAATTTAGCTAAAATGTTTCAAACATTTAATGAAGTACTAGTGCTTGATTAAAGGGCAGAGTTTGCAAGGCACTACGTGTAATTTGTTGTGAAGCAGGACGTTAGCCTCGAGGTACAGGACTGTTAGGACATGGGCGCTTGTTTGTTATATTCTTAAAATACTATACTAGTTATTACGCACGCATGTTGTATGTGGAATCAAATTATTAAGTAGATAACATATCATCTAAACATGTTCCTTTTGGTTTATGCGCATATCGTTAATTAAATGAAAAATAATATTATATGTACTAAATCAATTAAGATAAATTTATACGTAAAGATAAAATTCATGATAGTAAAGACAAGTCGGAGGTGAGTTAGCAAATAATTGATACTGGGTACAAACATATAACCGGTTTTGGATAAGCTCCAAACACATCAAAATCGGAGAAGAAGATGCGAAAGCAGGGCACCAACTGAAGAAGACGGCATTAAAGGAGCAGTCGTTACAGAGAATTATAGCATTTACTCTCAACCGTTATGCATCTACTAAGAGTGGTCTTTATTCACCTTATAGAAGAGCATGATCGGGGAATCTTGTCTCCCATAATTTAGCTATAAATAGAGAAATTTGTATTCATAGAGGAAGACAAAATACTTGTATGAAAAAAAGGCTAACACTATTCTCTTATTCTGCAAAAACTCTATTATGCTAATACTAAGTTTTTAGCATTGCTCTTGTCTCCACAGAGATCAATTCAAAAGCCCAAACTTGTCTTTACTTCAATAATTCTTATTTTACGTGCTTTAGAGCGTTATTATTTTATTTTTCGGATCAATTTAATTCACGTGTCTATGAACCATGTTACAAATTCAACTGTACTATTTTACAGGTAAACCGTTTGGCGCCCACCATGGGGCCTAGACAATTGTGGTATCACTTTAAGCTATTCGTCTTTTACTAACATACTTTGAAGTTTTTCTACAGTAAGCAAAAAATAGATATGGCACCCAATGATGTCAACAACTCGATCAATGTTGGAACAAGTAACGTCAATGAGAGTGAGGATAATTTTCATGGTGGAGACCAGCAGGAACATTCTACAAGTGAAACTCGTTATGCTGGAAATGAAGCAACTCTAATCCGGGAAGAACAAAATATTCGACATGCAATGAGTCTTTGTCACGACCCGAATTTTCCAATGTCGGGATCGTGATAGTGCCTAACTCTTAGAATGCTAGGCAAGCCAACAGATACAGTTCTAACACATTAATCATTAGCCAAAACAGTAATTAACCATAACTTAAACCAACCAAACAAGAAGTGTGGAAATTTTATAGCAGTTTCAAACACTAATACACGCCTACCCAAAAGATCTGGTATCACAATCCACGAACTCTAAGAATTTTCTACCAATACTGGGTTAAAAGAAGTACATCTTTTCCGGAAATACAGGAAAATAGAAAAACTAGGATATGAGGAAGGGGACTCCAAGGTCTGCGAACGCTGACAGATCAACCTTGGATCTCCCGTGGACTGAAGGCAGCAACCCAAACTCTGATCAGTGCAGTACTGGGATTTGCACAGAAAGTGCAGAGTACAGTATCAATACAACCGACCCCATGTACTAGTAAGTGCCAAGCCTAACCTCGGCGAAGTAGTGACGAGGCTAGGACACGACAAATAACATAAACCCGTGCAGTTAAATTATATACGAGAAAATAACAATAACAGAAATTTCACAGTTAATAACGGGAAGGGGGAAAACATGCTGAGGGGACTATGAATATTCTGAAAATAGTACAGTACAGAAACACAATAAATATTATGCTTTGAACCAACGAAAGTATAATACCACAATTATGTGCATGACATCACCCTTCGTGCTTTTACTCTCGTCCTTACCATAAGAAATAACAGAAACGACACAGTATCACCCTTTGTGCATTAACTCTCTCATAATCATGGCACAACATCACCTTTCGTGCATTATCAATATCAGAATACGGTATGGCATCACCCTTCATGCATTAACACTCGCAGAATATAACACGATATCACCCTTCGTGCTTTATTACTTACTCACAAAACATTGCACGACATCACCCTTCGTGCTTTACACTCTTCCTCATCTAAACAACAGAATTAAGAACAACCCAACAAAGGAATCAATGATAAACAACCTCGTTTAAAAATTTAACTTCACAATATAAATCTCAACTTGAGTCAATACTCAACAAATATCTAATACCAGGAAAAACATAATAAGACTTGTTTAACAGAAGGAATAACCAGTTTGAGCATGAACAATACGTATAAAGAAACACAATAGTCACAAGTATAAGATTCACTCGCATGCTATGACCCGACAACAACGTATAGATACTCGTCACCTCACCTATACATCGTACTCAACAACTAAACAAGTAGCAAATAAGGCAACAATACCTAATCCTTCGCAGATACCTTGGCCTCTGGCACGACCTCGTCCTCTGCCCTTCGTAGGAGTTGTCACTAGGGGCTCGGGCTGCTGATCAGCTGATAAAGCGGTACGTGTTCTCGCCATCTGCGAAGGAACATAGTAGAAGTTCAATTAGCATTGGGAAATCAAATCGCAGAACAGAGAAGAATAGATGAGAAGTTATTCCTAAACTCAGTAGCCTCTGGGGGATAAGCACGGACGTCTCTGTGCCGATCCCTCAAACTCTACTAAGCTTGTTTGTGAATTGTGAGACCTAGGCAACCTAGTGCTCTGATACCAACTTGTCACGACCCAGATTTTCCACCGTCGGAATCATGATGGAGCCTAACTCTTAGAATGCTAGGAAAGCCAACAAATATAGTTCTAACACATTAATCATTAGCCAAAACAGTAATTAACCATAACTTAAACCAAACAAATAAGAAGTGCATAAATTTTATAGAAGTTTCAAATACTAATACACGCCTACCCAAAAGATATGGTGTCACAATCCACGAACTCTAAGAATTTTCTACAAATAATGGGTTAAAAGAAGTACATCTGTTCCAGAAATACAGGAAAATAGAGAAACTAGGATATAAGGAAAGGGACTCTAGCGTCTGCAAATACCGGCAGATCTACCTTGGATCTCTCGTGTACTGAAGGCAGCAACACAAACTCTGATCAGTGCGGTCTAGTACCGGGATCTGCATAGAAAGTGCAGAGTGTAGTATCAGTACAACCGACCCCATGTACTGGTAAGTGCCGAGCCTAACCTCGACAAAGTAGTGACGAGGCTAGGACACGACAAATAACATAAACCCGTGCAGTTAAATCATATACAAGAAAAAAACAATAACGAAATTTTAACAGTTAATAAAGGGAAGGGAGAAAACATGTTGAGGGGACTATGAATATTCTGAAAATAGTACAGTACAGAAGTACAGTAAATATCATGCTTTGAACCAACAAAAGTATAACACCACAATCATGTGCACAACATCGCCCTTCGTGCTTTTACTCTCGTCCTTACCATAAGAAACAACTAAAACGATACGACATCACCCTTTGTGCATTAACTCTCTCATAATCGTGGCATGCCATCACCTTTCATGAATTATCAATATCAGAATACGGCACGACATCACCTTTAGTGCATTAACACTCGCAGAATATGGTACGACATCAACCTTCGTGCTTTATAACTCACTCACAAAACATTGCACGACATCACCCTTCGTGCTTTACACTCTTCCTCACCCAAATAGAAGAATCAATAACAACCCAACAAGGGAATCAATGATAAACAACCTCGTTTTAACATTTAACTTCACAATATAGATCTCAACTTGAGTCAATACTCAACAAATATCCAATACCAGGAATAACATAATAAGACTTGTTTAACAGGAGGAATAACCAGTTTGAGCATGAACATTACGTATAAAGAAACTTAATAGTCACAAGTATAAGATTCACTCGCATACTATGACCCGACAACAATGTATAGATACTCGTCACTTCACCTATACGTCGTACTCAACAACTAAACAAGCAGCAAATAAGGCAACAATACTTAATCTCTCAAGCTTATGTTAGCCACAACACTTACCTCGATTCCACAGCTAATCTCAAAGCTCAATCACAACTTTTACTTTCACACAAGCCTTCGAACCAATAGAATCTAGCAAATTACCAACCAAACGATTCAATTTAAGCCTTAGGAACTACCCACGATAGCAAGGAATTCAATTTAGGTCATTTTGAAAAAGGTCAACAAAAGTCAACACCCGAGCCCGGTTGGTCCAAACCCAAAATTCGAACAAAAACCCGATTACCCATTCACCCTCAGCCCAGATACACAATTGGTTTTGGAATCCAACCTCAATTTGAGGTCTAAATTCCCAAATTTCGAAATTCCTAAGTTCTACCCAAAAATCTCTAATTCCACCATGCAAACCCTAGATTCTAAGATGAAATCTTGTAATAAGAAGTAGAAGATTGAAAGAAATGAGTTAAGAATCTCTTACTTATGATTTGGGGAAGAAAAAGTATTTGCAAAATCTCCTCTTATGTTTTAGGGTTTTGAAAAAGTGAGAAATGGATGAAAAGTCCCGTTTCAATAGCCCTCTCTGATCCCCATTACGCGGGCCGCAAAATACTAGGCGCATCCTCAAAAATTTGGCCTTACCCACTGCGGTCCACGAAACACTCCACCGCGGTCGCGAAATCTCACTGCG